TAAAATCTTTTAATTTTCAAACTTTATTTTAGTTTTCTTCAAAATTTCCTTTTGTTTCAGTCCCGAATTAATCTATAATTTTGCTATTTGTATTTAATTGAGTCTGCTTTTATAACATTCTTTCACCAAAAATAATAAGTTTCTTCAACCAATCTCATTTTAATATTTTTTTAATATTTACTTGGTTGTACATTTTCGCAAATGATTCCTTTAACTGCATTTGGAAAAATTAAGAAAATTAATATTGCTTGCATTTGATTTTAAAAATGTAGTGGAATATAACATATATCTAAGATATCTGAAGTATACTATCTTTGATTTTGTGCTTGCGTGTGTGTGTGTGTGTGCAATTATCAAGATGTATTTGTTTTTGATAATACATTTTTAATATTCCTGAGGTATTTCCATTTTTTTACAACATGTTAATACATTTATCACAACAACATTCGTTTATGTATACTATTTATTAATTGTATATGCAGCAGAGAGAGATTATCATTAATCCAGGTTTTAATTGAGGCTTTAGGTCACCTGTGTTAAGAAAGTCTGAATCATACAAAATAATCTATAAAATGTGTGAGCCAAAGTACATACCTAATCACTCTGGGCAGTAACAAATATGTATTTTGAAATTAGATAAAATCAAACGGTATATATATATATATATATATATATATATATATATATAATTACATTAAAGAGTATCCAATTCAATACACTGCTTATATGATGTATTGTACGTCGTAAAAGAACTATTTCGAACATGAAGATCCAAGCTCATCTTCTCTACTACACTTGCACACCACGTAGCCTATAGTCTTGCACTCCAAATTTAACATCTTATTTGTTTTTAATAATACAGAGTTATCCATAATTTCCTCCGAAGCTCTATAATAAAAAAAATCTGAGATGAATATAACTAAAAAAAGAACATTTCAAAGAACGCAGAAACAGTTCAAGTTTTGCAAGGTGTGGCTATTTAAGAACGAGACTGATGCTATAAAATATTTTATTTTGATTTAATACATATTTACTTATTATCTCCTTCAATATACACCTCTCCTCTATCCTTACAACGCGCCATGCAAATCTTCCATTGTTTGAAACAGTGCTGGAAGTCGTCTTGTGCCAGCTCCTGCAGGACGCTAGCCGTTTTTTCTTTCAAAGCTTAAGTGAACTCAAATATTGTTCATTTTAATGCAGATTTCACCTTTAGAAACAGATATAAGTTCCACGGTGCAAGATCTGGTGAATAAAATTGGTCTAACACTAGGGTGCTGTACTTGGCATGATACTTTATGACAGACAATGCGTAATGAAACAGCGCATTGTTTTTGTATGGAGACTTTTACAATTCTTGATTATTCTTTCACGAAGTTCGGCAAGAAAGTGAAGTAATGTTGATTGCTAGTTTGTGTGTATGTGCTATTCATGAAACCGGTGAAGGTATACAATCTCATAAATATCTCTAAAAAAACAATCAACATTGCTATGAATTTTGATTAACTCATTCGTGCATTTTTGACTCTTGGTGAAGCTGGGTTCCTTAAGTGCATGGATTGGCACTTTTCTTCTGGATTTTAAATAAAAACCACGATTCGCCACATATTATTATCTTCCTCAATAAGTTTGGGTTACTTTAAATGTCATTCAAAATGTCAGTGCAAACATTATTTCTAGCTTCTTAATGTTCGAACATGATAATTTTAGGCACCATTTTGGCACACTCTTTTTGAATGCTAAAATTACTATGTAAAATCTTTGTCGATTCCTAGAGTCTCAGAAACTGCATGGATGCTTAACCGACTGTCAAATCGAATCAGATTACCCATTACTTGAATACTATCATCCGTGTTTAGCGTTGAAGGGCGATCCGGACATGAATCATCTTCAACGTCTTCTCGGCCATTTTGAAAACGCGTAAACTACTTAAAAATATTTGCATTCAATAAACCTTCGTTGACAACAGCATCGCTTGGACTATTGAATTGATTATTGACGTGTATATAATCAATGTTTCACTCGTAGAGTACTTAAAAAGTACGAAAATAAAAATTAATTGTGTGTGTGTGTTCCTGTTTTTTTTTAATATTCTTTTACTGTATTTACCTTAGATTTTTTACAATAGCGCTTCAAAACCCTGGACGAAATTATGAATAACTCCACTAACTTATTTTAAACGGCTTTCCGTATTAAACATTATCCAGTTTAATACGGTCAAATTAATCAGGGTTTTAACTATTCGTTAAACTTTAATTCAAGAAATTTTTCTCTTACTTAAAATTTAAGCCCAGCATAGTTATCGATGAATATAAAAGTTAATTTAATGTCTGGGCAATGAAAAAAGTTCATTTCCCCTCAGAGACACAGAGAATGTAACTGAAAATAAAAATCTTAAAATGGATGACTCTGTTAAGGCAAAGTTTGTTTTTGAAAGCTACTCACTGAAACATCACAAAGTTGGTCATTTGTTAACTTCTTTCAAAGGTTCCAAAGCCTTAAGACCTTCTATTTAGCGGCCTGGAATTCTAAAATAACCATAAATATTTAACGAGCTCCACGAATTTAATTAACTGGAGAAGTTTTTTCTTCTTTCTCTTCAAACTATCCTGTCGAAGTTGTTCTCTACTGAGTTCCCCAGGAACAAATTATCGTTCTGTTAGAAGCACCACTTTCGATGAGCAGCTGACGTCATGAACATAAATTGGAAGAAATCAAATGTTGACTTAGCCTCTTCAATTAAGCCACGGCGAGAGAGATGTTGGTTAATGCCACTCTGTCCTTCAATTTCAGAAGGTAGTGTTTGGTGTTTTTTGGTCAAGAGGACTAGCGGAAACAGCATTTTTATCATTAGAGTAGAAAGTTTCTCTCTTGTCTCCAATGTTTTCTTTTCTAAAAGTTTTTTTCTTTTCGTGAAAAGACAGAAACGTCGATTTTCTCTGTTGATAGACAGACAAAAATGTTTCAGAATTTTCCTCTCTTTTCTTTTCTCATTTATACAAAAGTCTGGACATTTATTCTCAAAGAGTTCCTTTCAGAGTTGGACGTAAATATATTATTGATGTACTTATAAAACTCCTTTTGAAATCGTGTTTGTGTATAGCTTCGAAATTCCTGTTAAAGCTATTATAATGAGAACTAAACCTCCATTGAAATAAATGTTCCTGAAGATATTTGACAATCCTCAAATGAATGATTTCTCCATGAATTGAATTCGAAATATATACTCACAAATCACAGCCGACATTTTTAAGCGTTTTTTATAAAACTTTATTTTCAATATTTAAAATATAAATAACAAAATAGTAATTAATTGTATGCAAGAACATTGCGCGCGTGCGCATGCATGTGCGCGTGCATGTGTGTGTGCGTGCGTGTAGGTGTGTGTGTGTATGTGTGTGTGTGCGTGTGTGTGGAACAAAAATGAAAATGAATATTAAATTTATTTTGAAAAAGATTAAGAGTTAAATAGTACTTATATATGAACGCATATAATAAGTTCAGTCTTTTGAGAAGTAATATATTTTTATCAATCGCATTGCTTAAATGCATAAAAAAAGAATGATACTACATTTTGTCACTAAGGAGTATTTAAGGGGGTATTTTTAAGTAAAAGTAGATGTATATTATACATGTATAAATTTTACTCAAAGATAGCCTATCAAATATATAATATGTATAATAATAAACATTAAGATTTCATGAAAGAATTCTGTACAAATAAAATAAAATTACTTTACCTCATTCAAATAAAATTAAGAAAAAAATGCTTTATTTTAACGATTTCTAATTTTTAACTGAAATACATTTCGAGATTTACATTCCTTCCTTTTAAGAAAGGCTTATGTATTCATTTGCATACAAATGGACTAATTAGGATAGTCTTATGCAATCAGTAATGTCTTGATTGGTATAGACACAGCAGCATGTATTTATTTGCTTCATGGCTTGAAAAATTAAAAAACATGTTTGAAATTTCTGTTACAGTGTAACACACGAATTCTGACAGTTTTAGACTTCAATACTTACTTCATTGCAAGCTAATTATCGTAAAGAGCTGCATAAATCAAAATGTGATACTTTGAGTGTAGTAATAAAAGGATTAGAAACTGTAGTTAATGTCATAAGGGTTTTTTTTAATTATCCTATGTTCTGTTTAATATTCTGCTGGCCTAATTTAATGAGTCTTTTTAAATTTCGCAATTTTGCTCCGTAGTATCTTTGAAACAACAATTAATCTCGTTCAAAACTTTTTTTTTCTAAATTCTTGCCTGAGGCTTATTACAAAGCAGGATTATGTGCTGTAAACACAACTTAAATAAAAATGAAGTTAAATGATTTAAGTAGCAGTTTTAATCATCAAAAGCAAAATTGATGCTAATAATACAGCTTGATATATCAGTAGCAGCTACACAGAGTTACAGATCCTTTGTGTATGTAACTTTTTAAAGGATATTTATTGAATGTAAATATATATATTTCTTTCCACAAGAAAGTGAATTCAATACCCCTGTAAGACCAAGATATCAAAATCGAAAATTAAAGTAATTTTATAACGTGTTTATTAGAAGAAACACTTTTTTCCCCTATTTTTAAAGAAAGACTAGTTAACATTTTATAGGTATTTCTCAATTGGAGGAAAAAATAAATTAAAGTCATCACTCAAAAATTTCCCAAATGGGATTGTTTTCATTCTTAAAACAAGTAATATAAAAGAATATTTTTAAGTCAATTTCTACTTATACGTCATCAAAGAAAAATTTTATATTTTAATTACTTTTTATTACATAATTACAGTTAATACAAATTAGAATATGCATATGACCGAATCTCAATATTGTAGCAAAATAGAAAGCGATTTTCCTTGCAGTTTTCCATTTTCCTTTCTATATAAGATGCTGAACTATTTTTTGTGTTTGTTACTATTTATACATAATTAAATTTAATAATTCTAATAAAATAGTATAGTAAAATAGAAATCACATTCTCAGAAACTAGGCCATCCCAGTTGGGATTCGGACCCACGATCTTTAGATTAAAAATCTAATGGCCTATTCATTGTGCTACAGGGACACAATGAACGATTTTCATTTTTACATATGCTGTAGGACTAATATTTTTGTATTAAAATTTATTCATTTTTTAATTTAATAGTAATCATTTAATATTTGAATAAAATTGTATTAACATCAAGTGTCATCCAGTACAAGTTTTTAAAAAATGTACTTGAACTTGAATGCATGAATAGAAAGTATTTTATTAAAACGATTGAAAATTTGAACAGGATATATATATATATATACTCGAATTTTTTGGAACTCTAAATATAAGAATTTATCTCGTACAGCAAAACGAAATATTCATGTTTTCGATTGTATAGATAAAAATCAAAGAGATAAGGGTTTTAGTAACATATTGGAAACTAGGTTTTTCAGAGATATTCATGTTTTAGAACTAAAATTTAGATCTTGCACTGATAAAAGATGCAAGGCGTGTGGCATGATGAGTGGGGAACACTTGGATATGGATGCAGGTTATATATTTTGTAAGACTTTTAACTGTGTCTACAAAATGACATGCAACATATGTAAATTCACTTACATAGGTCAGACTTCAAACACTATCAATATTAGATTAAATCAACATAGGTCTGATACAAGAAAATTTGATTGCAGCAAAAACCAGGCTAAGATTGAGATAGGACACTTTCATAAACATGGATTCCATAACATAACTGTACATATACTTAGAATAGTGCCAAATATTAAACAAAGATTATGGTTCGAAAACATTTTTATAGGTTCATTTAGATCATATTATCCTTATGGTTTTGAATGTTATCTGGAAAGGTGAAAGTGTCTTACTAACTTTTAAACAAAAATCCGAGGGATTCATTATATATATTCGAATTTTTGATAAATCTATTGATAATAGTAATAATATTGGTTTAGCGAGAATTTGCGTGAAAAGAGTTACTAGAGACATGACAATCCTCAAGAATTCTATGTTAGAATTAGCTGTTAATTTTTGATGATAACTACAACACAGGCTTAATTAAATCGTTTATGTTTGGCATGAATAAAACTGAAATTAAAATTATGACAGATATTTTAAGCAGATATAAATTTCGGGATTCTCATGGTATGCATATGATGAGCTATGTAGTGCAAAAAATGAATATTATTAGATGCTACAGAAATTGTACATTATTATTTATAAATAAATCCTTTAACAAAATTAATTTTTGTATATTTCAAAATATCAATCCTTTTTTCCTATTAAAAATATTATTATTAAAAGGCTTTCAAATACAACAAGAAACTTGGTAGATTTATATTTAATTATAATCAGGTCTCGGAGCCTAAGTTCAGATTCATGTAAATGCAATCTATTGGGACTATATTGATGATTATCATCAGCACGTTGTCAAGGAGGCGTGAAAGATGATTTTATGGAAAAAGGTACCGGTTTTAGACTGATGGTCACAAAAAATAAATCTAACGTTATGAAACAAATCATAAAAATTTAGATAAATTCTACCTAAAAATTGCAATTAAATACGGAATGCCTATTGAAGCTTTCAATCAATTTAGATCTTATGTAGCAACTCGGGGAATTAGATTTCACTGTTGTGAAATTATGTATAAAGATCTTAAATCATTTCCAAAATGACTTCGTGATTACATATGTTGATAAGGTCTCTGCTAATTATGCCATAATTTGTAAATAGTTTTACAGTAAAATATTAAGTAACCACATTTTAAATAATAATTCACGAAAATCAATTCACAACAATAGAGAAGATGATAATCGTCTTTTAGCTTTGAACAAAAGACTGAATATTCATCTAAATCCAGTATTTTTAACACCAAAATTTCATAAACAGTTGTAGTATCACTAATGGATACAATACATATATTTGGGAAGATCTTTACAATCTCTTCTTCAAAATCTAATTGATAACTTACAAAACACGGCAATAATTAAAAAAAATTGCTAGAGTTACTAAGGATATGTCAATTTTTTCCATGCACGGCTTTGATTTCGAGGACCTTTTTAATTCTATAGATATTGACGATATGATTAACAGTTAATTTATGATAAATATGAATTATAATCATTTTAAAAAGAAAATTTCATTGCATTTGATCAGAATCTTTATAAACAGATCAAAGGATTACCTCAGGGTGGTCCAGCTAGTAATTGTTTACAAATTTACGTTGTAAATGATTCTTTGATTTATCGCTATATTTTTAAGTAAAAATAGTGAATACAGACCAAATGTTACGTTCTACCTGATTTATCTCACGCTCCTTAAAACTAACTTCAACTCTAATATGGTAGAAAAACTTGCATCTTATTAACAATAATGTAGTCATAACATTTTTGACAATTCGTTTAAGTTCCATATAATTAAAATTCCCGTATGGAACAGTAATTTACATAATCAATTTGAAATATCATTTTGAATTTTTTATTTAGAAATGATAACAACTACCCACAAAATAGATAAATACAATAATATAAATTTTTTTTTCAATGTTGTTTAGATCATGAATACCCTTTTAATTTCTTAGAACTTATATTCATTACATTAACCGTCTTGCTACTTCTAATTCCAAAACCACCACACAACAAAAGATGTTAGTGGTCTTTTATCTGATTTTTCCACACACATCAAACAACACTAAAACATAATTAAACCATATTTGATTGTCGTCTTTTTTATTTGTCTTTGCTGGCTGGTTTAAAGTTAGCTCAAAAGATGTGTTTATGTATATTCGAATTTTAACTTGCTGAATAATTGATTTTCATTGATGTCTAAAGATGCTTTCGTGTCTGTGAGTAAAGAAATTTTGTTAAAATTATTTTTGAAAAATACTTATCTTATGTAATTGTTTAATTTTTTCTACTTTTCTTACGTATTTGTTTTGATTTTTCTGCATTAAGAGTTTGGAAGAGTTTGTTACATAATAGTAATGAGTTGTTTTATCATACTCTCTGAGTTTTTTACAAACTCTGAATTTTTTGTTTATTTTATTTTATTTGGTTTTGTTCCTACCGAGTTAGGGTGAAGGTTGGCTTATAAGCTAGTTTAACCCCACTTATTTGGTCCTAAGTCCCGAAATTGCTTTCTGACTCGCTAGGTTCTTCTTTTTTTTTTGTAGTTTCTTTTTTTTTTTTATTTGTTTATAATTTTGTTCTTCATGTTCAGCTTTTATATTTTTATTTGATATTTCTTGTTATGTTCATTATCTATTATTTCTTGTTTTGATATATAATACATATTTCCATATATATATATATATATATATATATATATATATAATATATATATGTATATAGGGAGAGAGTGAACTAATAGTAGGAATTCAAACGACTTATCGGGTAGGGCGCTACTGTCTAATTCCACTGTTGAGTGAGTGAGTGAGTGAGTGAGAGCTATAACAACGTCATACTATAAAGCTGTACGAAGGCTCTTGACACCTGACATCCACACCACACCAACAGAAAAACGTTTGAGCTTCGACATATTAAACGTCGGCTCCCTCTGTATGGCAGGTATTCCAGAGTTGAATCAATATAAATCTGATTTAGATACAGATTCGTATGGTACAACAGTTGAAAAGATGTAAAGATGTAGAAACCTTTTTAATTTCTTCTGAAAATGTACGCTTAATTTTAGTTTATTTAAATGCTTTTCGAACAACAAAATTTGTTAACAGCATTTAATTTCATCGTCATGTCATTATCCGATAAAAAACTATCATTCAAAAACATAAAACATATTTTAAAATTTGCATTTTGCTTTATAAATCAAAATTCCTGATTTTCTTTGTCTCTTTGAAGATATTCTTTATCTGAATGTGGCTACACTAATAACAATATTCTCTTTTTGAAACTGATATAAACTAGCTTGAAATGCACCTTTCCAATAAAATCAAATTTCAGTACATATCGTTCAGTATGTATCTTTCAATCATCATCGATTTATAAACAGGATATTTCCTTTAATCCTTCGCTTTTGAAATCCGCACATTTTGCCAAATTAATTAATATTTTCCTTGCACTGTTAGATAATACAATCAACGAAATCCTTCTTCCTTAGAAACTCTACAAAATATTTCATCTTGTAATAATATTCATGTGGAATTTCAAAAGAATCTTAAAATTCTTAAGGATTCAAATATCCTAGTGTTTTTTACTTTTGTTAAGGGGTCATACTGGAATATTTAGAAAAAAAAGGGCTGATTTCCTGGCAAAATCAGCAACCAAACGGGGATTGAAATTCCAGTTAATATTCTGAAAGCGTTCTACAAGAAAAAAACTGAAGAAAACGTTGTCTGTCTTTGGAACGAAATATACAAAATCACCTCTCTCTTTTTCCGACAAAGAAATTATTTCCAACCATTTCACAAAGACGATCTTGTGAATACTTTTTTACAAATAATAAAATCACGCAATTCCATGCTGGTCATGGTAATTTTAAAGTGTACCTCAATAGGTTTAACGTGTGTCCTTCCAAACTTTATGACTGTAATGATGGTGAGGAGCAGAGTGTGGAGCATTTTCTTCTTTTTTTGTTCAAAATTTAAGAAAGAAAATGCCTGAAACTCAAACTGCATGTTCTTAAAATTAAATAGCCTGCTAATTTTTTTTTTCAACTTGTTTCAAGTAAAGTTTCGTTCGCTTTATTTTGTATCTTCATTGATTCGATTTTATAATTTTTAGTAAATTTTTTATTTCTCTATTTTTCTAACGTCATTGTATTGGTTTCGTTTCGAAATTGTTTTATTTTGTAATGTATTTTTGTTCTTGTAACTTATTTGTTTTTGTTGCTTCATTATTTCCCAATTTTTGTTTTGTGTTACTTATTTTTATTTTATTTATCTAGTTTTATTTACTTTTGTAAGCCCCGTGTGATGCTTGTGGTGCACAGGAATTATTGTATGTCTTCCAACTAAACACATTTTATAAAACCAATAAAATTACTAAAATGACAACATTTGTATATCATGACTATTTAAATAAAATAATTGCATAAAAATTTTCGATCGTATAAAATTCATAAA